CGAGGCGCTCCCGGATAAGGTTTCTGGCGGACGGAGTTAAGGCCGCGTTTGGGTGGGACTCGGCGAGCTTGAACACAACGTTTCGAAAATTCTCCATGGCCGTTCTCTGTGTGCTGTGATTTTTTTGGGGGGTTTTGGACGAGGGTTTTGCTCTAGGGGTTTAAGGGAATTGAACAGTCCATATTTTCGGAGAATGCTGCTGTGAGGCTGGAGCGCTGAGATGAATGAAATTGGAGATTAAATTGGTTTTTTTATTTTCTTATTTTCAATTAATATAAAATAGAATGTGTTTGTTTGTGAAGTGTTTGGCAAATTGTTATATATCAAAGATGTTTGACTGGATTCTGTAGGGTTAAACTCTAGAAAGTAAAGAAAGAGACTGGAGTATGATATGATGTTCATCACACTTTTTGGATGAAAAATAAAATAACAAAACGGTATAATCTTCGGTTGGAATGGTACATTAGTGCAGAGATTAGATTATTTTATTTTCCTCTTTTTGCTTGGTTAGAGAAAGGTGTAGATATTTTTGTGACAATCTAAAATGTAAGGTGTTTTTATCACTTTTAAACATTTTATAGAGGGTTGGCTCATTAATAATAATCGAATTCTTGTGGCGTCTAGGCGGCCTTAAGCGCTCCTAGGCGGACTTGGCGGGCTCAGCGGCCAAGCAGTTAGGCGGGCCTAGGCGGGCATGGACAGACCTAGGCGGGCTCGGCGGCAATTTTTCAGTTTTTTTATTTTTTGTAAATACTAATTACATTATTTTGTTCTCATATTTTTCTTAAAATATATTAATATTATGATTTGGACTTAGGTATGTCGATTTTTATATATGTTGAGATAATTTTATTTTGTAGGTAGTTAAAATAAATTAAAAATAATGTATTTAATATTGATTTCTAGGCACCGACTAGACGCCGCCTAGGCCCTGGGCGCTGGTCGAGCGCCTAGCGGGCGCCTAGCGACTTTTAGAACACTGCTTTAATCTTGGCCATTAAGGATTTGTTGAAGATGCAATGGTCGGTGAAGATATGCCATGGATTCCGAGAGTCCAACTTTGTCGCGGATTGCATGGCGAGAATGGCTACAAGGGGCCTGGGTGGAGTCCAATCTTTTGATGTTCCGTCGGATGAGGTTCGAGAATGGTTACACCACAATATTGTCTGGTCTTGTACCCTCGACACATACCGATTCTGGTGCCAAGCACTAGCCTCTCTGTACGAAAATAATAATAATAATAATAATCGAATTCTTGTGAATACTTTTCACGGTAATTACTATTCCAAACTATTCTCAATTTTCGTTACAGCTCGTACACAACACACAAGAACATATGCGATGAGAAAAAATGACGGTGACTACAGGTGGTGGGTGAGGGCTTTTAGGCCATTATTTTGTTCTCACTTAACCTTTTGTAACAACAAATTTTGTGTTCCTCGACTTGATTTGATTTGAATTATCATTAATATGAGGGTCAACGCCTTGACTTGATTTGACTTTCTCTTCGCCGCAATGTCGGTCTTGGATCTTCTCCGCGCTGATTTTGAGTTTACTAATGCAATTCGGAGTCTTAACTGCTTCTTTCCGGATTAAACGTCAGTATTAAGGTTAAACACGCTTGACTGCTACTTTCTGGATTATAAACGTCAGTCTTATGGTTAAACGCACTTGAATCTTTCTATTTGGGGTTTTGAGTTTACTAACACAATTCGGAGGCTTGACAACTTGTTTCCGGATTAGACGTCAGACTTAAGGATGAACGTGCCTTTAAATTTTCAAAAACACTTAACTCTCGTCGAGAGAATCTCTAGAGCTCTTGAATTTGAATATGAGTTGTGATGTTTTTTTTTTTTTTTGGCGTAAGGAGAGTTGCTTTTTTATAGGTGTATAGTGGAGTAAACCCTACCAAATTTAAGAAGTAGGACGCGATTCGATTGGTCTATGACGATTTACATAAGATATTCTAGATCTACTTAAATCTCCCAAGATATTCTATAAGATATGTGATTATATACCAAAATCTCCTTCTAGTAGATATGTGATTTATTTACCAAGAAATAAAATTTGACACAGAACATTATTTGATTGGTCAGTATTAAAATATAAAATAATTAGCAATTTACATTTAGGAATTAAATTTATAGAAATTCCTAAAATATTAATAGAAAGTATGACTTGATTTTTAATAAATTAATTTCCATGTGGCGCCATTTAATTAGCCACACATTGTATGTATTTACACCTTTCTCTTCCAATCATAAAGTTGCGACTACGTGGCCGAACAACCACTCCATGGACAACCTGTTGGAATTTAGACATTCAAAAAAAACGCTTATGTAACAGGATTTTAAAATTTTACTTCTCAATAAAGAAGATCGATATGTCCCTAGACCGTGTGAATAATCAAACGATATTTAGCGTTAGTCATAAGTTGTGTCCTTAACAATGGTATACACATAATTTTTTTTTTTTTTTTT